CCGCTTCCCCAGCGTCTCGGCTCCCTTGGGACAGTTCTCCACCAGCAGCAGGAGCTCAGGGGAGTTCATGCCCATGCCGCGGATCTGGGAAGAGGACGGAGGTGGCGTGAGGAGGCCGCAGGAGCACGGAGGAGGCCATCAGGGCCCCTTCTCCCACCGCCGCGGCCAGGCCAAGCCCCTCACCGGGGGCCAAGCTCTGCGTGAACCCTGCGCTGGAAGCCGAACGCAGCCCCCTGAGCCCCCACGGCTCCGGCGTTCCCCTCCCGCTCCCCAATTCGTGAGGCCAGCAGGTCTCACCGGCTGCTCGATGACCCGCAGGACGGTGCGCTTGATGTCGGCGATCGCCTCGGTGTACACGGAGGCCAACTCGTGGATGAGCTTGTGGTTGTGCGGCAGCAGGGCCAGGTAGAGGTACAGGCACTGCTTGATGGTCTCCTCCGTCCAGGGAGCGGCCACCTCTGCGGGACAGCAAAGCTCAGAGCTGGGGACGCGGCAGAGCCCCACGACCCCGCATTGCCTTCCCCACAACGATCCCAAGAGGAGACAGAGCTGCGCTGCCAGTGCCCCATCGCAAACTGTTGCTGGCAGGGAGCTGCAGGCCACGGGAAGAACCCAAACGGCTGCTCAGGATGAGGGCCACCCTCTTTCCCCGGTCCCCGAAGTGTCCATACCCGTGTCCTTGTCAGCCCCGAAGAGCACGGACGGGGGATTGGGGTGCACCAGGAGCTGCAGGTAGTTGAGGGCAAACTTTTCCACGTATTCCCTCAGCTGGTCCTTCTCGTACATGCGCTTGATGAAGAGCAAGGCCTGCTGGCGAACCTGCGAGGAGGCGGCCGCAGCGTCACCGGGCGCCCGAGCGAGGCCACCTCGGGGACAGGGACAGACCCCGTAAGACGAGGGCTGGCGCTCGGCGCCGTTACCTTGTCCTTCTCGTGCGAGCTGAGGTCGAGGAGGACGTGCAGGTACTGGAACTGCCTGGAGGGTCTCTTGAAGATCAGGTCGCGCAGCGTGGACATGCCCAGGTAGGTGCGGCTCTGCGAGGGGACGACCGTCAGCGGGCACGGGGCACCTGTGTCCCCTGGAGGCCCAGGCAAGGCTGGGAGGAACCCGCGCGTCCTCCCCGGGGACCCACCTCGTCCTCGCAGTATTTCCGGATGACTTCCAGGGCACTCTCGGTGATCAGCGGCGCCTCCAGCACCACTTTGGTGAAAATCCTGCCGACAAACGTCCCCCACAATGCCACCCCTGAGCTGCGGCTGTCCCCAGAGAGTGACACGGGAGCTTCTGCGCATCTCTCAGATAAAGAGATGGTCTCTATCATGGGAGAAAGGCTGAGGCGCCGTTCAGGGGACGCTCGCGGGCAAGAGCGGGGCTAAAGACCCCGCGGTTCCTTGCCGCAACAGCCCTCGCTTCCACGCGGGTGACGGTCCCCTTCCTCCCAGGGACA